GGACGGCACCGAGCTGCCACAGCTCTACCTTAGCCCTCGGCTATCGAGAAGAGGGCAGCTTCGCTCTTTCTCTTCGTCGCCAAGGACACTGCTGTCATCGAATGTGACTGATACATCGAGCAGCGCCAATGTGCGAAACGCTTCAAAATGAGAATGTGCAATGCTCTACGTCGCCTTGACTCCCTCTCTCTCTCTCTCCGACCGTCGCGAGTGTTTGAGAACAGGCTGCTAGGACCCTCGCCCGGCTTTACAGGACTATGTTTGCCTCAAGGCTTTTCGTGTTCCTTATTCCCATTTTTCTGTGTGAGCGGACGTCAGCGCAAGGTGGTAAGTGCAGTCTTTCCAGACGCCTTGTCGCTCGAGCTGAAGCTGATTTCCAGAGTCGGAGACCAACAGTATCGTATTGCTCCCCCAGTGGTTCATGGCCATCAAGTCAGCCCGGAATGGACTGCGGCATACTCCAAGGTATTTATTGGTGAGATCGTCCTTGAGTTGTACTAAGACTGAATAGGCAGAGCAAGCGGTGTCTCAGCTCAGCTTGCAAGAAAAGGCGTCTCTCGCTACAGGTATGCTACGTGAAATAAAAGTATACGACTGACATTTGACTATGCGACATGCAATCAGGCGTAGGCGACTTTACAGGTGAGTATCGTGGCATAGTTGTGCACACATTCATCCTCACTCCTGCTCAGGACAATGTATCGGTAATACCGCGGCTATAGCAAACATTACTTTCCCTGGACTGTGCCTTGAAGGTAATTGTGCAGTTAATCCCATAAGTGCTCACCAACTCCGAAGTCATCTAGACAGCGCTTTGGGCGTACGCGATACCGACGGTAATTCGGCGTTCCCAGCGTATGTTTCTTAATTGTCTATCTCTGAGACTGGCTCTTACCCGTGCATAACCAGAGGGATCAATCTGGCCGCCACGTACGGTTGACCATTTTTTGCGTGTGTCCATTATAGCACTGACATTGTTGCACCGAAATAGATTCAATAGGACTCTAATGCGCCAGCGGGGCATCGCGATGGCCCAAGAATTTCGAGGCAAAGGTAGACTTCGACCCATGCGTGTCTCCAGCTGATATAGCTAAATAATTACCCAGGTGTCAATGTCCAGCTCGGGCCATACATGTTAGTATCTCGAGCCATTTCTCATTGCCGTTGCTGAATATCTGGTAGGAATCTCATGCGTGCGCCGGAATCAGGTCGTGCCTGGGAAGGGTAAAATTCTCCCTCAATATGCGCATGCGCAGCCTAATTATCTGTCTTCAGATTCGGAGCGGACCCATTCTTATCAGGAGAAGGCGCCTACGAAACCATCATGGGTATCCAATCTCAAGGTGTCCAAGCCGTCGCAAAGCATTTTATCAACAAGTAAGCTAGCACCCAGAGTGTTTAACGTCCAGGCTAGTGATACACATGGCTGAACCAGTGAGCAAGAGCATTCCCGCATGACCAGTTCTTCCAATGTCGACGACCGGTGAGTAAAAGCACACTTAGGGCTAATATTTTTTATCTAAGCTTGAATTCGTCTCAGAACGGTAACATGTCCTACCATGTCCCAGACCTCTGAAGCTTACTTCTTGCATTTCAGGAACATGAGTTATACTTACACCCGGTGAATCAGAGCGTGCGATTTTGAACGTATGTTTTCTAAATATTTCGCAGTTCTTGCGCAGCGTTCAAGCGAATGTCGCTGCTGTGATGTGCAGCTACAGTGAGATTAATCTTGTGTAGTCACACGATTCCTGCTAACGAGCGATGCTAGACCAAGTTAACGGCAGCTACGCATGCGAGAATAACGCCACGTTGAACGGGCTCCTCAAAACGGAACTAGCCTTTCAAGGGTGTAAATAACATGCTCCACATGACTTCCTTGCCCGTCGTCTAACGCTTGTTAGATGTCATGTCCGATTGGTACGCTACGCATTCGACAACATCCGCCAACTCTGGTCTCGATGTAAGCATGGATTTTACAAGATTTCTGCGCCGTGCGCAGCTAACTGTTTCTGTAGATGACAATGCCAGGCGATATCTTCCTCGGCATTGGAAGCTACTTTGGGGACGCTCTGGTTGATGCAGTGAACGACGGATCCGTTAATGAATCTCGTGTGGATGTAAGCAACAGTCTTGTATATCTGCTCTGTTGCTCACAAAGAAGCTCAGAATATGGCTACCCGTATTCTTGCAGGATGGTGCGCGATCTCCGCCCAGATAGCACCTGCCACGCTCATATTGCGTACCTTCAGGTACCTTCTCGGCCAAGATTCTGGCTACCCGCCCGTCAACTTCAACGCTAAAGATCCACTGAGCTCTGAGAACCGGCATGTTAATGTCCAAGGTGATCATGCCAGGTCAGTCATCTGGATGGTTTCGTGTAAATGATTAACTCGTAAGCCTTCAGCCTCATTCGCACCATCGGAGCGGCTTCAACCATATTACTCAAGAACCAGGGCGGCATTTTGCCTCTAAACAAACCGAGCTCGATCGCTGTTATAGGTGAGTGGTTTATCGACTCATTTCAACTTCAATTTCCGGCAAATGCTGAGCTCGTCGTAGGTAGCGGCGCGGGCTCGAACCCGCTTGGTCCGAACGCCTGTCTTGACAGGAGCTGCGACATAGGTGTGCTGGGTATGGGCTGGGGCAGCGGGTGGGCAATTTTCTGCATGCGACTTCTCCGCTTGCTTGTTGGGATACTGAGGATCGTTCGTTAGATCTGCCAATTACCCTTATCTCATTGCGGTGAGCGCAAATCGGAGCGTGGATTTCTATGCTTTTCTGAACTTATCCCACGTAGCCCTTGGATTCCATCACGAATCGCTCCCAAGCTGACGGGACCAAGGTATCTTCTTCGCTCAGCGATACAGATCTGTCCGAAGCGGCCAGCGTTGCGCAGGGAAAAGATGTAGCCTTCGTGTTCATCACGGCCGATAGCGGCGAAGACGGGTATCTCGTCGAGGGTAACACCGGGGACCGCAACGACCTGCAGGCGTGGCACGGCGGCGTACGTGATAGTTTATCTCTAATCTCCGATAGCTAACACGCTGTGTAGGATGCCTTGGTTGAGGCCGTCGCGGCAGTCAATAACAACACGATAGTTGTAGTCAATGCTGTTGGGCCCATTATTGTGAATGCGTGGATCGAGCACCCAAACGTTACTGCGCTGGTGAGTATCTAGTCCTGCGGGTAGACCTCTGTTTCATGATGGCCGTTAGATTTGGAGCGGATTGCCAGGACAAGAAGCAGGTATGTTTCTATGTGTACCGTGACGCATACGTTACGCTGACTATCACACACCAGGAAATGCGCTCGTGGACGTCCTCTACGGCGTGCATAACCCGAGGCAAGCTTGGTTATTCTCTCTCTTTCAGAGCACTCCATTTAGTTATCTCACTAGTGGACGACTACCCTTCACAATCGCCAAGTCAGAAGAAGACTATCCAGCCAAGGTTGACGCTTCCTTCTCGCTTACGATACTGGAAATCCCGTACACCGAAGGGTTATTCATCGACTACAGACACTTTGATGCTGTGAGAGACGTCTATGCTCCTTAACGCAGTGAGCTGATCAGATTTTCTAGGCGAACATTACACCTAGCTTCGAGTTTGGTTTCGGGCTGTCATACACGACTTTTGAATACTCCGGCTTGGACATAGCCGGGCAGCCCATCAGTGGACCCACGAGCCCCCCGTACGGATTCGGATCCTCCCTGGACTCGTCGTATGTTCTAGATGCTATCATCTCTCAAAATTGCTCTTGGCTGATATCCGTTTAGTCTTCACGAGAATGTCGTTAACGTCAGCTTCAGTATTCAGAATACTGGCCCACTCCCAGGCCACGAGGTGCGTACCTTCCCCCCACCCCAAGAACCAAAGTACGCCTCTGATTACTGGCTCTAGGTCCCGCAGCTGTATCTGGCACCGCCGCCGAGCGCAGATTCTCCGCCACGTCTGCTCAAAGGTTTTGACTGTGTCTTCGTTCCTGCGGGTGCGAGCGTCGTAGTGACAATGGGGCTTTCGCGCTACGACCTGTCGATTTGGAACGTGGTCGAGCAAAGGTGGACTATTCCTAGCGGCGATTTCGGTATTGTTGTTGGTGCCTCAAGCCGTGATGTGCGGTTGAGCAGCGAGCTGACGGTTGTGTAGGCTTGCTCAATGCCGCGACAGCTGTATTAATTAGCTAGTGTACTTATTTGCTGGATGGAGACGAACATGCTCAGGCGTGACATGACAGTCGCGTGACAGGAAATTGAGTCGCGAAGATCTGGGAAGCGCGCGTTGTCCGAAGGTAGCTAGGAGTTGGTCGATCAGCATGTCCTCCCCCTCTCTCCGCCTGTGTACCTTCAGGACATGCAGGGCTTCCTCAAAAGAGCAGGTCCGCACCCTCGCCACACACGCGAGCCTCCCCAGCAAGGACTGCTCGTCCATTACTCCGCCCTATGCTCAGCTGCAGCACAAGCTCAAGGCCGTCCGAGAGATCCTTGGAGGGCGGTCCTTGACACTCGCTGAGAAGATTCTCTACAGCCATATCCACAGTCCACAAGAGACCCTCGCGGATGGGAAGATTGTGCGCGGGGAGACGTACCTCCAGCTCAGACCAGAGCGGGTAGCGATGCAGGATGCTTCTGCACAGTGAGTCTTACAGCTCTGCAAACCTCTAATTGAAACTAGATCTCTTGGCAGGATGGCACTGTTGCAGTTCATGAGTGCTGGCATGTCACGATGCGCCGTTCCCGCGAGCATCCACTGTGATCATCTCATCCGGGCAGAATCTGGTGCGGAGAAGGACCTCGAGGTGAGCCCCTGCCCACACATGACTCGGAGCTCGGGGTTAATGAAACATCTTCTCGTAGAAATCCATAGTCAACAACAAGGAAGTCTTTGACTTTCTGGAGAGTGCTGCTCGCAAATATGGCATCGAGTTCTGGAGGCCTGGCTCTGGCATTATCCACCAGATCGTGCTGGAGAACTATGCTGCACCTGGTATGCTCATGTGAGTTTTATCTCAAGTCGGAAAAAATCTCTGCGCGCTGATGTGTTATCCCGTTTTTCAGGCTTGGTACAGGTACGCAAGTCGTTTGAAATTCTCTTCGGCACTCAAGTGCATTGCAGACTCGCACACGCCCAATGCTGGCGGACTTGGCATGCTCGCCATTGGTGTCGGTGGTGCTGACGCCGTCGACGCTTTGACTGGTACACCATGGGAGCTGAAGGCTCCTCAAATTGTTGGCATCAAGCTCACCGGCGAGCTCACTGGCTGGGCGACTCCCAAGGATCTCATTCTTCATCTTGCAGGCAAGCTCAC